GGGGCTCGATCCCAGGACCCTGGGATCGTGACCTGAGCCGAAGGCAGACGCTCAACGACTGAGCCACCCAGGCGCCCCAAGCCTATAGAATTTTTAATGTTTATTGGCAAGCCTAGGTTTCAAAGTTGAAATTAAAATATCATTATGGAAAATGTGCCAATCAGTCATGGTTCCAGCAGAGAATGGGCACAGGTGCTGTTTTTTTATGAAATTGTGTGGTTTCAGGGCTTTCAGAAGCTTTTGTGATGTGCAGGAGATCTTCAGCTTTCTACAGTGTGATTGAGAAGCTGCTCCAGCCTGTGGTTTGGACACGTAGCTCCCTGCCTCTGGCTCAGCGTGGCCTCCGTGCCAGACTCAGCAGCCAAGGAGGGTGTTTGTGGTTGGGGGCTTGGGGGCGGATGGCGGCGCGTTCACACACTTCAGCTGCCTGGAGCCACCGGCCTGTCCTGCGTGGCCTGGCGGGCCTGGGGACCCACAGCTTGTTGGTCAAGTGTGGGTTTCTATCACTTTGCCACAGAAGCGTGTTGATTCTTGCCTATTTTTGTCACACACATGGTGCTTTGGGGGCTTTGGCAGGGATGCTAGCTGTGACTCTTCTCTGCGGGAGGGTCCCCTCGCGAGGACAAGGGCACCAACTCACGGCCCGAGTGCATGGCTGGGTGGTGACTCGTGGCATCTTGTCCCAAAGTCCCCGCATAGATGGTTGAATGAGATAGTTGTGAAAGAGGATGCAGCTAGTGAGCAGGTGTGTTGGCTGGGGTTGGACAGATTGGGGTGTTCACGACCCTTTCATGACCGTCTAGACCAGGGTGGGCAGAGGCCTGAGCGTGTGGGGCGGAGGAGGGAGACCCCGTTCTCCAGGTCAGGGAGCGTAGGGGTGGCCGGCGGGGAGGCCGGGGACACGCGGGTGAGCGGGGCTCTGCAGGCGGAGGGACCCCTTGTCCTTCAGGCCGTCGTGGTTATTGGAGATTTGGGACTTACTGAACAGCCCGTGGCATCCGTGGCCCTAGAGTCAGGGGCTTGCCGTCCTGTGGCTGTGGCCATGTCTTGTGTGCTCTGGCATGCTCGCTGCCGCGCTCCCCGGGGGCTCGTGGCGGAAGAGGCGCCGGAGAACACGTGGGGTCTGCAGCTGTCGCCACCGTCCAGGAGGCACGGTCGGCAGCGCGGCCGCTGGGGTGTCGGGAGCGCGTGTGCGAGTGTGCATGTGTGCGGGGCCTGGCCCTGCCGCCCGCTGGCTTTTGGGGTGGGGAGGCCGGGCTTGGTCGGGGCGCCTGCGGGGTGGGGCTTGTGCTCCGTCTTCTGAGGGCCTGTCCCTTCCCCGTGTGCTTCGGGCTCTCAGTCTGAGCAGCTGTGTCCGCGCTTGACGTCTCCTCTGCTTACGCGCCAGCGTTGCCCGAAGCTGAACCGTTCTGTGGTAGGTGTATCATGCCTACTCTACTTTCCTCCTCTTCTTACTCCATCACCGTATTATTTTGTTACTTACATTTGGGTGGAAGGTGATGAATATGAACGCTGCACCGCCCTGTGGGCAGAGGGGATTCCAAGCAGGCCTCAGGATCACACTCCGGTCCCCACTTCAAAGTCAGTGCTGGGGTCGGGTGTGGGCGCTGGGGTCGGGTGTCCGGTGTGGGCGCTGGGGTCGGGGTGTCAGGTGTGGGCGCTGGGATCAGGTGTCAGGTGTGGGCGCTGGGTGGGGTGTCAGGCGTGGGCGCTGGGGTCAGGTGTGGGGTGTGGGCGCTGGGGTCAGGTGTGGGCGTTGGGGTGGGGTGTCCGGTGTGGGCACTGGGGTCGGGTGTCCGGTGTGGGCACTGGGGTCGGGTGTCCGGTGTGGGCACTGGGGTCAGGTGTGGGCGCTGGGGTGGGGTGTCC